CGTGTCAGCATTTTGAAAACCCTAACTTAACTCTGGTGCCATGTCACATATAGAAATTTTTTGATATTTGCAACCATAGTAAAACAAAGACTTATATTTTTGATATTTATTTTATATATTTAAATGCCATTTAACAAAGAAAAATCAACCAAAAAATGAGTTCATAGGTTCGCCATCACTGCTCTAGGCCCTCACAGCCGCTGTGGCTTTGTCCAGATGGATGTCCGGAAGACGTCTGCTCTAATTAGCATATTATCCTTTTATTAGTATAGATACTAGAAGCCCAGTGCATGAAATTCATGCATGGGAGTTGGGGGGTCCCTCAGCCTGGCCTTTACCCTCTCGCAATCTGGGACCCCTCGGGGGATGTCCAATTGCTGGTTTAGGCTCGACCCTGCCCGCAGGGATTGGGCCTAAACCGGCAGTCAGACATCCCTCTTGCAATCTGGGACCACTGGTTCCTAACTGCTCACCTGCCTGCCTGCCTCATCTCCCCTAACCACTTGCCTGCCTGCCTGATCACCCCTAACTGCTCGTCTGCCTGTCTGATCGCCCCTAACTGCTCACCTGCCTGCCTGATCACCCCTAACTGTCTCTGCTTCAGCCCCTGTCGTGATGGCTTCGTCCAGAAGGATGTCCGGAAGGTCGTTTGGCTGCCCAGTCTAATTAGCATATTATGCTTTTATTATAGATATCCATTATTCTATCTGTTCATTTTCTTACCATGTTAATCAAATGGAGCAAATATATATAAAAACATATACAAACTTGTCATATGCATATATGTGTGACCCTTTACACAAGTGGCCACTCCATCCCATGATGTGGTGAGACACACGTGCAGCAGGAGGTGTGGTGTTGCCTGACATGCACTCCCCCCTGGTGTGCACATGGCGCCAGGAAAAGTGTCACTCAAAGACACTGCACCCGTATCAAGACAGAAAGATTAAACCTGACCAAGTGTCAGAACACAGTTTGTTCCAAACCTAAAACAAAGTAGCTAATTACAATATGCATTCAGTGATTTCAGATTCTCTTAGAATTACCAGTCTCTTTGGGAAATCGACAGAAATGCTTTGTTTGGTAATTTTAATATGTCGTGTTAACAAGCAATCCTTTAATTAACTTTAAAATTAACTGTGTTAAACATTTAAAATTATTGAGTTAAAAAACACACACATTAGTTTTTGTTTTTAACCTCAAAAGCCCCCTCTTTATAAGGGCATGTCTGAGTTGCCATTGGCAGGTGGGCCTCCGTATTGCCAGGGAGATGTTTCCTTCCTGTGGCTGTAGCCTCAACTCCTCTCGTTTATGCTCTGGGCTGTGTTCATTCAATAAATGTCCTCGAGTGATGCTGACAGCTGCCTCCAGTCTTGCGCCAGGCACCCAGGCAGGTGGGGTGACCATCTCTGCACTCCCCGGCCTCACCCTTGGTTACTCGCAGGGAGGGTGGCACCTGGTCACACTTACCTGCAGCTACGGCGGCTCCGCCCCTTCGTTTCATTATTAGACTCTGGAGGGATGGAACAGCTGTGTCTTCAGCTCTCACCCTTATTCGCCAGGAAGTACAGGAGAATTATGACATCTGATAGGGAGAGAGATGCTTTAACCAAAGACAGGAGTGTCTCAAAGACAATGATCTCAATCGATGGTTTCACTAAGTTGCTGATGATCTTGAAGGTGGTCTGTGGGATCCTTGGCTACCAAAACATTGTTCATCGTGGATGATGGTGACAGTCCACATACGTTGACATTTTACTTATAGTTTTACCCTTTGGGCAAAATAGTACCGTGAGTCAATGCTTGTGAGTTGTGTGTAGGTTTTTGGTTTATCTATTTTTATACAATTAAGTAGAAGCTCATGGGGGAGGTGGTTTAAGGGAACTCACTGACCCTAAAACTGTCTTTCTTGACACATATTTGTTGAGTGCCGGCTAGGGGGTGACTGGGTGCTGGGGATATAGCGATAAGGGATTCGTAAAGAGCAAATGCACGTGACAGGCAGCGTGGCCAGGTCGCACTCGGGCGTGTCTTGGCAGAGATTGTCTGGGCTGTATCCTCACACGCAGCTCCACTGCGGGAGCCCTGGGCAAGCTTCAGTGTGAAGTGGGGTGGCAGTGTGTAGCTCGCAGAGCACTTGTGAGGGATGGAGGAGGTCATGCCACTGCCACACGCAGCCCCATGTCTGGCCGAGCCAGGCCCCGTTGCTAGCTGCACTCGTTCTTTTCTGGAAGATTACCCTGTGTGTTCATCCATGGCTGCTGTCTGACCATCACAGTTCCATGCCGTGCAAGTCCAGAGTGAACACGGCACCTGCTTGTTGGTGTGGAAGTCAAGTGTGCGCGTTCCTGTTCTCCCTTTTAGCAGGAGTGGTGGACGATCCCTGCGTGGGGGCCGACTGTCCCAACCGGACCTGTGAGCTGGACAACGGCGGGGAGCTGTGCGGCTGCATCGAGCCTCCCCCCTACGGGAACAGTGAGTGACACCTGCCCCCCCACGTGAACAGTGAGTGACACCTGCCCCCCCACGTGGACAGTGACACCTGCCCCCCCACGTGAACAGTGAGTGACACCTGTTCCCCCCACGTGAACAGTGAGTGACACCTGTTCCCCCCACGTGAACAGTGAGTGACACCTATTCCCCCCCACATGAACAGTGAGTGACACCTGCCCCCCCCCACGTGAACAGTGAGTGACACCTGCCCCCCCCCCCCCTGAACCGTGACTGAAGGACGTTTCCCCCATTAACAGTGAGTGATACCTGTCCCCCCCCTTGCGCACTGTAAGTGACACCTGCCACCACCCCACCCTACAGGGCCCGGTAGGAAGGGTCTACCACCCCATAGTGGAGGTCTTGGACTGCCGGTGCCTCCTCCCTGTGGGTTACAAACCCAAAGGGAAATATTGAAAGCAGGTCCTTCATAGGGGCAGCAACAAGACCTGGGAGGCTATTGATGCTGGCTTCCCGCCCACCCCATCTCTGCAGCACATTATAAAAACGCAGTGATCGTTAGGCATCAAGCCCAAGTAGAGAGCTGCTCCTTGGACCGCGTGGGTGTCAGCGGAACTGCTGATCGAAAGTAAATACTAACAGAACCGTGGGTTAAGAATCAGTCATTCGTTGGCAATACCTTCAGGACCGGTGTCTCCGGAGAACTCGGAGACAGGAGGGCCAGGGTTCGTCTAACACAAATGTGAGAGATTGGGGGAATGCGGGAACCTGGGCGGTTGTACGCTCATCTTAGGCGGCTCTTGCTCCAGGTTCCCCGGATTTCTCAGGAAACAGCTT